GATGGTGTTTTGTGGTATGCATCCATGCAAGCAGTACCTCTTGGTCAAATTTTCAGCCGGTATCCGGTCATACCAAGTCTTGAGTGTTGAAAATGACAAGGTATCAGTGATGGATAGTGAGTTAAGATGACAAGAATGATGAGAGACTCACCAATAGACATCCATCTGCCAATTGACTTTTGAAAATACTTCCAAATCCTTGACACTGGACACCACTTGTGAACATCCTCAAAGAGAGCTTTTGAGTCCAGGAAGGATTTGCATTTGAAGTTGTTGCTTTGATAGTCCAAGTACAAATCAACAAAGCTGAGATCAAGTGTGTCAAAAGCGGCAATAAGATGCAAAAAAACCTCTACCAAAATACCCTACTTGGGTATTACTGGAGGGTTGAAAATTTGCGTCTCGGGGATGGCCCCGGGGCCGGCCTTTGGTCGTGACTAGGCTGGATCAACTGTTCTTTTTCTTGCAACTATACAGGACCTGGGCAAAGTATATTTTGGTTGACAGTTTAGCCACCAGCATCTGATCAACAAACGCAGATATACATAGGGGGTCCTCAAAGCTATGTAGTTTTTTTGCCCAAATATACTTTTTTTCCCCGCAAAAAAAAAGTATATTTGGGCAAAAAAAACTATACACACAAAACTATACACAGCTTTGAGTACCGTAATTGAATATTGATTGTTACATATTGGTTTCCTTGATGAATAAGCATCTTTATTGACAGGTTTGCTTGCTATGACAGCAATGTGGGCTCAAGTCTTTCAAGACAAATTTTTGCAGTCCAAAAATGAGTTTTTGACGGACTGGAAGACCTCCCGCTTTGCGGTTTTTGAAAACTCCCTTGTACATCAACTCCTTCTGGAATGGGGATTGAGGGTTTTTTTTGGCTCTATAGAAGCTGCCAAAAGGCATTGTTTGAACAGCATTTTTTTGAATTTCAACCAAGTTTTTGGGAAAAAACACCAAAGGACACGCCAGCAAACGCACCCTAAATCTGTGCGACCCTCCGTACATGAGGTATTCATGGCACGGCTGCGAATTCTCTTAAAGTGAATAATTGAGTGAAAAGTAAATTGTGGAATCATGATAGAAGATAATTATATAATGAAACTAAGTTTAATTTTGTTGTTTTTTAGGGAAGGATGAACATGGTACTGTAGATACAAGATCATTGCAAGGTGTTATAAAAAATAGAGAAAAATGCAAATGAATTTGATAACACTATAGACATTTTAAACTTAATGTAGGAAGTTCAGCTTATTGATACAAAACCTATAATTCTTCGCTCCTCCAATCTGAGTTTGCCCTAGAAGAAATCATGAAAACAGAAGTAAAGCTTAAGTCATTTAGATATAAACAATGACTCACGGAAAAAACTGAGCAGGAAAAAAATTACCCTTTGATACTTTGAGGATATGAAAACACGTTTTGAGGGTCATAAACAGACTTGATTTGTGACAAACGTTGATAACTACATATAAGAAAAAAGAGTTCAGAACTATCAGAAAATGAGTATAAAATAGTTCCAAGAATGAAAACTCAACTTGTCATTAAAATACAGATCCTGCCATTCAGTGGAAGCCAATCGATCATCATCCAAGTTGGCATAAGCGCTGTATGTACAACGAGAGGTGAGAATGTTTCAGTCTGTTCTTTTTTTACCCATGGTGGGGCTTCGATTTTGGTGCTTACCCGTATGCCCGTCCGTTTCCTACGAGGGTCGAAACCATCTCATCTATGAAGCTAAATCCTTCGTCGGGAAATGGTGGCAGATAATCTTTGGATGAGGCGTAGAACTACATGAAAGGAAAGATATAAACAAATGTAAATGGATTTTAAAAATGAATTTATGGGGGAGCATGAGCTGAATGACTCACATGCATGCTCAATAGGATTGATCTTTGAGCGAAAGCTGTTGCATCCTTGGCAACGGAAGTTATAGCAGAATTCTGACCACCCCAAAGTTCAAATCGAGCGATCCAGCGCTGAATGCGGCAGAATATTTTTTTGGTCAGCAATAAGAAGTAGATATGAATTATCAAATCCATCGAATACCGTATCTGATATCCAACCTTCTGAAGCGAGGTGTTTTGAAAAAGCTCGAATGGATGCATTCGAAATGGGTGTGGAATCTGAAGTTGTCAAAGACTTTGCGTAGAAGGTATCATATTGATCCGTGACGTCCATATCTATGGGGTCACACAAAGTCCAAAAAGGTTCACTTCTTCACCATAATGGGAGGTAAGAATCAAAAGAATGCTAACTCGAGCTCAAAAGTGCTTCTTGACTTGTTACCCTGGCCATACCTTGCACATCGGTAAGCCAATCTCTTTTCTCTATCAGCGTTGTTGTTGGTGTTGGCTGTAGGTTTTCAAAAGATTAGAGTGTGCTCAGATGTTCATATAGACTAAGAAGCTTACCATGACGTCTAACCATTTTTGAATCACCGTTGGAAACTTTTTGCTATCACCAAACCAAGCACCAACAAAACCAAACTTCAAACGTCCGGGTTGGCTTCCTCGTTGAAAATTGACTCCCATTCCGAGCTCTGAGGGGAGGTTAGATTGACAAAAGGCTTGAAACTCGATGAGCGCGTTTGCAGAATCGTCTTCAGTGAAGTCCCACCGAAAGGCGAAGTTGAGAAGCTCATTCGGAGCTGGATGCGTTTGGAATTTGATCGATGTCATTATGCCGAACGAGGCGCCTGCACCTCTCAAAGCCTGTTAACTCGTCAGACTGTCTAATCATTGATGATTCAACGTATGGAATGATAGAAAAGCTTCATACTACCTACCCAAAAGAGGTCTGGATTGTTATCTTTCGATGCATGAACAATCGTACCATTTGCTAGTACTACTTCGTGACCAATGATGTTATCCAAGGTCATACCCCACATTCGACTTGCCCAACCGAAGCTGGAAATCAAGGAAACTGATAGGTCACCAAATACGACAGCTGTTTATTACTGGCCTACTTACCCCCCAAATGCTGCGTGACCTCCAATACCGACGTACGGGCACGATCCATGAGGAAGTGCGCGGCGACCTTGAGAATAGATTCCAATAGCCACATCACCCAGTCTATTTCCGGTTCCAATAACAGCTTGTCCTGTTGACTGATCGACGGAGATTGTGTTGAGTAGCGTTACATCGACGACTAAGACACCGTGATCTCCTCCCAAACCAAAGGCGGCAAATGAATGTCCACCTGAGCGAGGTGAGACTACATACAAGACGCAATCAAAATGATAGTATGAGTGCTAACGAAGCGGTTTCTGAGCATTCATCACAACATGAGCTCACCTGGAAGGTTTTCTTCCACAGCTACTTTAATAGAATCCGCAACAGCTTGAGTGCTATTAGGGAAGACAATACCAGCTGGGAGATAAGTGAAGCGTAAGTTGTAAGGTATGGCAAATTCTTCATAATATGAGTCTCCTGGAAACACAGCGTCGATTCCCAACTCGGAGAACTTGAGTCGCAAAGAAGCAGTATCTGCTTCAACATAACAAACAAGGCTCAAAGCGCACGATACGATAAATAAAGAGGTAAGCATCGTTATATAGTGTTTTATTCGTAGAAGAAGATGCGCGGGGTCCTAAGCTTTGAGGTCGAAATCAATAAAAAGACACAGAAAGGATACCAGCCTAGGGAAATGGTACGGAGTCGAGTACTTGTTATTATAAAGCTGCACCACATATAATCTCGATTGCACATCCAAGGATGACTTTCAAGAAGAGGCATCGGATCAGACGTTGTATTTGGTTTCGGCAATGATCCCCAGAAGTTGTCGACTAATCGTACTAAGGTCATTCATCCAGCTCATCCAGATCGTCGATCAAATGTCTCGAGGCGACTGATCCATTTCCTCGCGCTAGAGAACCCGAGCCCTTTTCGATCTGCTCCACCAAACTTGAACTTTCGAACTTTCTTAGCTGCTCCATCCACCCAACTTGGACCACGCTCAACAGTGTAAGCCTGTTGTACTTCCTGTTGTACTTTTCTAACAAGAGAAATGTAAAGTACAACACAAAAATAAATTAGCCTTGATTGAGTTGTTTGTAAACTTCTCCCACATCACAAATCTTGTCTTATCGAATACTTTCAACGTAGACCCAACTTGCAAAAAAACCTCAGTTCAACAAAAGCCAATCAAACACTCAATAAAAGAGAACCAAGTAAAAGATTTAATCAATTCATCAAATATTAAGGATCATCAAGATATGAAATCATAAGTGAATGATGATTACAAAAACCACCAAAAAAATGATCTGACATAACTGAAAACATTACTATAGAGAACAGAAAAAACCAGAAAGACTCACAATCAAATCGACTAATATAAAAGACGCAGTAGAAGATATGTATACAACTATAAGCATACAAAGAATACGTTTAACAAAATCTGACAAAGAAGGATTTATAGAGATGCAAACTAGAAGGCAAAAAATCTGGTCAGAGATAAACGATATTCAGGTAAATCGTAAGGGAATAGGGTAAATTAGGGAAATAAAAGACATTTTTATTTATTTAATAATGGGTTATAAAGTGATTTTTTTAACATTTTTGTTTTTTTTATAAGGAAATTCAAAAGATAAAGGAAATCAAGAATTTGGGTAGTAGTAGTAATGATGAGCAGAATTTGATTTTTTTTGTTAAGTGTTGTTAGCATTGAGTACATGATCAAATGAAATAAAAGAAACTAAGGAATAAGAAAAAAAATAATTAGAGTTACATTAAGGAAATTGTATTTTTGATTTTTCGATTAATTTTTTGACGTTTTTCTTGTTGATTTCGTTAATTGGTTTAAGCAAGGATATTGAAAATTCTGCTGTCAAAGAACTAAGAAACTCAAACTTGTATCTGAATAAAAAAGGAGGATTGAGGATAAGATGACAAAAAATAACCCAATTGTAACCAAAATCACTCAAAGATAAATTCAATGTTAAACTTACCTTTTGAGTTTCTCCCCTTCTCATTTTACAAACTTGATGGATTTCATCCTGAATCTTCTAAAGCCAATCTAGCCACAGATCCTACCAAGATCCTACCATCAACATCAAATGATTCGATCCCATTCTCATCTTCATCTAATCCTATCAATTGATCACCATGATTAAGTTTTTCTTCAAAAGATTCATAACTATTTCGATGAAATCTTTCTTCTAAAACAGATACATCAGCTACCGACTCTCCTAATCCTAAGACTGGAGCTCCTTCATAAACACCCATTCTTCTAGTAAACTGTAACCCTCATACACAAATTCAAGAGAGAAATCGTCAGTCAAAATTCACAAACAAACCCCTGTTGAAGAAAGAAATCAATCATCTTAATGTTCTTTTGGAAGGGTGGTCACTTACATGATAAAAACTTCTCCAATATGGATCAACCGTTAATGTTTCAGCATTACCAACTACAATTAATAGCTCTTTAGGTCTAGTAAGAGTGACATTAAACCTTTGAGCTTCAAAGATCAATCCTCTATCTCTTCTTCTATCATCTTCAATATGTTTTTTATGATGTGATCTTACCGTACTCACAATCACTACCCGACTAAAGGAAAAAGCAAGCAAAAACATGTTAGATCTTTTCTTTGATTCAGTGGATGAGAATTTTTAAATGA